CAATGACTCGATCCCCCTGATGATCCGATCCCCCCCATGACCCGATCCCTGCTGTGACTGCCCCCATGACCAGTCACTCCACGATGACCGATCCCCCATGACCAGTCACTCCACGATGACCCGATCCCCCATGACCTGTTCCCCCCACTCCCCGCCTTGATCGCTCCTCGAGATGACTGCTCCCGGTGAGACCCCATTTACTGCCCCGCTGACCTATCCTTGGCCCCCTGGCTGACCCCCGCCTCCCCTCTTGCAGAGCTGTTGCGCAGCCACTGGTACCTGTATTGGGGAAACATAGCCTGCACGCAAGACGATTCCAGCCTCGGCGGCCAAGACTTTTTCATGTCAGAGACCGAGAACTCTTGCAGTCGTTTATGTCATCCCTTCTTCTCCAGACAGAAGATACCAAAAAGTTGTAATCAAAGATCTCTCCATCTTATTGATAAAGCTACTAATAAGCCAAAATGTCTGTCAACGTCAACCGCAGCGTGTCAGACCAGTTCTATCGCTACAAGATGCCCCGTCTGATTGCCAAGGTGATGCAGGGCTGCATGGGGCGGGGCAGCGGTGGCCAGAGGCGAACCTCCCAACCCAGCCAGTGTCAAACAACAATTCTTATTTCCTTTAGGTTGAGGGCAAAGGAAATGGAATCAAGACAGTTATAGTCAACATGGTTGACGTTGCAAAGGCGCTTAATCGGCCTCCAACGTGTAAGTACGGTCTTTGGCAGAAGCCTTGAAGGTGTGTTACAGGTGAAGGTCTTTACTGTTCACTTGAGTGCTGTCTGCAGACTCTTGGTTAGGTGGAGCCTAGGACTTAAACGGGTATTAGCTGATGCCTTGTCTTTAGTCATGTCATTAGCCTGATTTTAATTCTACAACATGGTAATGTGGATGTGGGTGAATACAGATAGATTTTGCTGAGTCAGAACTTTTCTGTTTTCCACTAGATCCCACCAAATATTTTGGTTGTGAGCTGGGAGCACAGACCCAGTTTGATGTTAAGAATGACCGCTACATTGTCAATGGATCTCATGAGGCGAACAAGCTGCAAGACATGTTGGACGGATTTATTAAAAAATTTGTTCTCTGTCCTGAGTGCGAGAATCCGGAAACAGATCTGGTGCGTCCACTTCAGAGTTTTGACAGTGAAAGAAAAAGCCTTGTATTGTTCTTAAAATGACAGACCAGGCTTAGCTGGAAATAAAACATACCACCTCACATTTGGGCAGTGTTTCCACCTGAGTTGGATTGTTTTGCTTTAATAGGCCAGGTGTGCAAATAGTTATTGTTGACTGCTCGGCTCTTGTTTTAGGTGTCAGCTGAGGGTTATACGTTCAGGGTTTTTTTCTTCACTGTATATAAGATTGACCTTTTTTTTCCTTTTTTGCAGCATGTCAATCCAAAGAAACAAACAATAGGGAATTCTTGTAAAGCCTGTGGCTACAGAGGCATGCTTGACACACATCATAAACTCTGCACTTTCATTCTCAAAAACCCACCTGGTAAGTCATCTTGGTGAAGTTTGCATATTATGGAACCTAGTGAAGAAGAAATCTTCGTTTTTTTTTGATACTATTTTGTAAATGTGTGGGTCTTGTGGAGGTTACGCAAGCAACACTCTGTGGCAGATGAGCACACCAGTCTGTCCCAATTTGCGCTTGCTATAGCAAAGAAGCCTGACCTATTCCGGTTTTCTCTCCTCGGTGAGACAAGCCGTTATATAGACTTGAACAGCTTTTCACCTAAAGCCCAGTTGATTGCGTATTGTTTGTCCCAGGTGCAGGAAGCAGAGTGGGGAGAGGTCTTGGGGACATACCTTAACTACCTGATCTTTTAATCAGCAATTTTCTTGAAAATGCCCAGAAGCTAAGTTTAAATCCCTAGTATTTTGGGTCATTCCATTCTTAATACTGAACTAAACTGTGCACCTTAATCTGTGAAGCTTCATAGAATATCAGGCAAAATTCTGGATTTGAGTCCATTACATGTTTACTGGACTCTACAAAGTGGGGTGTATATCCCATAAAAGACTCGTTTTTAGCATTCTCAACACGCTCTGATGGTGCAGTCAGTAGAAAGCACTGTTGAGCCAAAGGGGGAGGGACAGCTAGGAATCTATTCCAACTTGATGGCAATGAGATGAATCAGTGGGTGACGAGGGAATGTCTGAGCTTAAAACCTGTGGGGTTTTTTTTGTAGAGAATAGTGACAGTGGCACAGCGAAGAAAGAAAAGGAAAAGAAAACCAGAAAGGGCAAGGACAAGGAGAACGGCTCTGTGTCCAGCAGTGAGACGCCACCACCTCCACCTCCACATGACATCAGCCCTCCTCCCGATGCTCTGGAAGAAGAGGAAGATGATGACTGGGGAGAGGATACAACAGAGGAAGCCCAGAGGCGCAGAATGGATGAAATCAGTGACCACGCGAAAGTTCTGACCCTTAGTGATGATTTGGAGCGGACCGTTGAAGAACGAGTCAACATTTTGTTTGATTTTGTTAAGGTAAACCATACCGTTCAAGGCCTTAGACTTTTAAATACTTGGTCACTTTCCTGTGTGGATTTTGTTTAAAAGTCATTTTAAGACTTAGAGAAAAATAATTGTTCAACCAATACAAACTTGTTTATAAACAGAATTTCAAAGCTAGGACTTGTTGAAGATTTTTTTTAGACTGTCTAACTAGAAACTAGATGTGCCCCTCCAAAAAAGAAAGAACCAACCATTTAGTCACCAAGTACAGAAACTATGGTGTCTTAAACCTAGCAGAAGGTCCCATCCCACTGAATTTTGCTTCCTTTGTTGCAGAAAAAGAAAGAAGAGGGAATTATTGATTCATCTGACAAAGAGATTGTTGCTGAAGCGGAAAGGCTGGATGTGAAAGCTATGGGCCCTCTTGTTTTGACTGAAGTTCTTTTTAATGAGAAGATAAGAGAACAAATCAAGAAATACAGGCGCCATTTTTTACGA